AATAACTCTGTGAATATTGATGTTTAAAGAATTTAAATGTTTAATACAACTTTAAAAAGTTATCCCCTATATGTGTGTTCATTTATTGTCGCGATGGTAACGGCACGCTGTATATGTCTCTGAGATCAAATGTTCTGGCAAACGGCTGAACTAAGCGACCATAAACTAATGTATTATTTGCGATTAATTGGCAGATTATTTCAATCAGAATCTTATTACAAATTTTAAAGGTTAAACTTTACACATATTGATCTAAAACTGGTAAGGGCTTACTGAAGAGTCTCCGACTTTATACTCGTCTCGTCCAATGAAGCCATCGTTAGTGCACTCCACGCCACCTCCCACGTTTCCGCTATTGGTTATTGATTCCTAGTTTTGCTCAACAACACAACCACTGTAGAACAAAAATGATGCAGATCAAGCTTCCCGAAACGTAAAGTGCAAATTGGAATGTCAATCAATAACGTCCCTAAGGAAATCGCCTAAAATCTCGTGTTTTCCCCTACCACTATTATTATTAATTTTGGATCAATAAACGACGATATAAAGTCAGTTTTAGGTGATAAATAAGAAATAATTACTATGTAAAAATTTTCAACTTACCAACTTTAATATTTATCAGTCCGTACAAAATTCATAACCCTTGCCGAAGTTACTTGAATAATGCTATCACAATAGTTCCATCTCGTTACTGTCACAAGACGTCAACTACGGCAAGTATTGCGTTTGATCATCCAACAAAGGACAAACGGTAACCGACCACAAGAAATTTGCAATACAAACAGATTGCGTATTGAATTTTGTTCTAGAGCATCTAAACGCAATCCATATTTGCATTTACGTTCGAAGGTTAAATAAACGTTATTTGTTAAATACTTTATGCAGTAGATTAAGATTTTATATTAAATTCCTATAGATAATTAATGTCAGTGATGTTTAAGTTGCTGTAAATAATAATTATATACTGATATTGAATAAAATTTGTAGTTTTTTTTACTTGTTCATAGGAAGTAACTGAAATCCCGTAGAATTAATTCTACGGGATTTCTGTTAGTACAATACACAATTTTTATTGATATCTTCACAATTTAGAATGTCTGAACAACTACTTATCTTCTGATTTAAAAAGATGATGGTCGTCTATTCAAATAAAAAGAGTACCGAATGCGATTTTATAACGTAAAATATTGATTACTTTTTGTGTCGTCCTCAGTCCCAATACATAATGAACTGTAGACACGAATTGTTATGTGTATTATACAAACTTGTACAAATAATTACTATGTTATTTATAAAAAAAAAATCAAATTACTTAGTGGCTTTAAAACTAAAACTCAATATTCAGTAGTTATCTTCATAAAATGAACAATGCACACAACTTTGATGCATTTCTGATAGCTGGACGCCAAAACCAAATAGGAATCGAAAATAACCAAATAAAAAAAGGGGAAGATAGACACCATTTGTACGTGGGGCACATACGTACATTGGTTAAAAAACACAAACGACAAGCTAGCGGACGATTCTTTTGGATGTTTGTATAAGTGGCCTAGCTATCAATACGTCAATGTAAATTTCATGCCATTCCCGCCATGGAGAGCAAATTTTTTCATTAACATTACACTAAAAAGATAAGTTTTTCTACCGGTAACTAGTAAATATCTTTAAGATATTATGTTTTTAAATACTAATTTGAATAGGGATAAAAAAAGAGATTATATTTAATTATTATTTGGTTATTGGGGCACTTTCGTACAGAACCCCACATATGCCGATTGTTCGTGTTTATTTTTTATAATATGTATTAAATATTCTTCTTTACAGGAAAATGGTGCTAAATTATAGACCTATAAAAATATAATGAAAGAAAAATATTTTAATAACTTATTAACTTGAAGATAATTTACATATAATTTTTGTTGACTACAAGAAAAGTCAATTATTTATGTTCATTTTGTAAATATTATTTTCTGTCCATATAAATAAAAAATATTCTATTTGCAGTTTTAATCACAATGTATGAAACTACCCCACACGTGGGGCATTTAAGTACGATTAACTTCAAATTAATTATGGAAGTTTATTCCAAGATATCATCCGTAGATTTTTTTTATCAATCTCAGACAAATATAATAGCAATGTATGTTCTAAGTTCACGATTTAATGGAATACTTGAAATGAAAATGAATAAAATGTTAAAATTTTACGAAGGGTCCCAACCTTCCCCTATGCTGCAAATGCTGCCAATGCAGCATGATAAAGCTCCGTAAACTATACTATACCTATAACAACGACAGTATAATTTGTCATTTTTGGAACGGTAGAGAAACGTAATTATTGTAAAATTGATAAGCAAAAGCATCCGATTTTGTAAGATATACTATAGGAATCCTTTTAATTGCGTACAATTACCATCATTTGGTAAACAAGTTTTTACATTGTTAGAGGTTAAATATATTAGAGGTTATATATATCTAGCATTATAAAGCAGTCTTTCCTTGATTTTCTTGGCCAAAGCCGAGATGCCTTCACCCCTCCCCGTTCCGTGGGCTCCTTGATATGTTAAAAAGTGCATCTAACTGACCTAGTCAATCACTTTGAAGTAAACAAATCGCTTGCACCCAGCTAACGGGAAGGTAACTTCTTAAATCAGTTAGTACTTGGATGACCGACTGGTATCGACTTACTTTGACGGTCTATCTAAATAATAAAATAATTGCCAGGGCATTTAGTAAACTAGTACCTGGACTGGACCTTTGCTCGTTTTTTTTTTTACAAAAGAAGGAACTTGAAAAAAGAAGGAAAAAAACTAAAAAATCACCTGGACTCGAACCGGGTTTCGGGAAAGCCCGATTTCCCACGTGCGCTATTATAAACTTATAGATAGTGGCGAAATTTACCTTTTGTATTCTAATAATATTGTCGCTCTTTTTCATTGCCTGAAAATACTGATAAAACTGAACAAAAAAGAAAACACATTCCACAGAAAAGAAATTCATTAAGTTTGAAACGAAAATTCCTTGTTATAGGTAATTTTTTGGCAAACGAAAATATACTGTAAAATTTTTAACTTTTACATTGGCGACATATTCATCACGTTACGGAATCTACAGTATACGGTCTAGGATTTGAAAGCAAATAATCTCAACAGCTTTGACTCTCCCTTAAAGAGTACACACTTCTAAACGATACCGGTGAACATTTAACTGAGTCGTGGTGTTGTTTGCATCGAATGAAATCTTTAACGCTTACAAAGCGGACGTGAAATCTGCACTTTCTACTTCCTGTAATAGCTTTGGCGTCGCGGCACAAATTTATTACCATCAAAAGTTTGCAATTGCTCGTGGCGATAAAACTGAGCGGGAACGCTCGTTATTTGTATTCTTCCCCTATTCACACGGTTATTGATCCCAGACGAATTGGGTGTACGTGAGATGTTTAACAAACTCAATTTTGTTAAATACGTCTTGTACTTGTATCCACGATACTTTTCATTACATTTTTTTTAATTGACGCGAGTTATACACATTGCACAAATAACTATATTATCGGTTTAATGTACCATGATAATTTGCAATTCCATAAAACACGGGTTTAACAGAGTTTAAGTTATTATATCTTTGATAATAATAATAATCCTGAGATTAAGTAACAATAATGTACACAACTTATTCATAAATTTATAAACATATTCTTTATCACCGACAAATTAAAGAATCTGTAAATAAATTGATTATAGCTGTAATAATTGATAGCTATAAAGTAAAAAAAGTAAGGTATATAAGTAAGGTATCCTGTATATCTCACAGCTGGGCAAAGGCACATAGGGTACTAAGGCATAGTCAAAGAGAGCGTACTCTTTCTTCAAAGGCCGGCAACGCATTTGTGAGCCCTCGGGTGTTGCAGGTGTTCATGGGCGGCGGTAGTCACTTACCATCAGGTGAGCCTCTTGATCGTTTGCCCCTTTTCTCCATAAAAAAAAAAAATAGTCCACCACGCGACCACATCATCATTCAAGAAACTGTTACGCTATTAAATTTTTGAGCCCCGTTTCTGTTACGCCTAATATTATATTTTATTAACAACGTTTACCGTTTGTGACACGTATCGCTGTATACTGGCGAGAAGCGTGGAACGTTTGTTCTATGTATGAATGTGACAAGAAAAACGGATAGCTAAATAATTTATGCCAGTATAATCCCCATCGATGAGAATTTAGGGACTGGCGTCCAACACTTATTTTATACGTAAAGTTCAAAACAATTGAAAGAAATAAAATAATATAACTGTTTATTTCAGCAAACAAAATATTAAATAGTAAAAAATTAAACGTGTGTAAAACGTATAAAAAAGTTGAGTTCAATTTTAAAAGTCAAACTCTTGAAAACCGAGTGGATGATTAGTTTTTCGTACTATTCTCGTGGGCTGTTGAGTTTTTGGAGCAATTGAAGCGCGCCGTGCAAATGATGTCGGTGCTGTATTACTTTCAATGTGCGCACCCGGTAGTACTGAGAAACGCCTGCAATAAAAATCAATTTAAAGGTGATATTCGATAATAAGAAAAATATGATTGTTTTGTTTTATGTTACATTTAATGAGGAAAAGATGACATAAAGCATTTAATATACTCAATAGGGTACGATGTCTCTTAGCCCTGTAGTCCCGGGCTCTAGAAGGGCCGTAAAAGGCGACTAAACGAGGACACGGATTAGGAGCTGCACGAAGTGGCTTCTAGCTGCTGCAAGATGATGGGGAAGGTTTATCCTTCTCCGAGGCGTGCACGCCCTGTACCGAGGGACACCGGTGCGTTCCGCAGGATAACCAAACGTACAGAAGGTGGCCAACGAGGGGGTTTTAGTGGATAAGAACCCCACATAACCCTGTCATATAAGTACGATGTCAATAGGAATAATATATATATAATAAATAAGTAGAAAAAGATCAATAATTATTTTCATATACTTAATGTTTTAATGAGTCATTTAGAACCAAAAAGTTTAGGATTCTAACCTTGAAGCAGGTATGACAGACATCCTTTTAAACAGATACTTCGCAGCTGACTTAAGGTCTTCATCCTGCATCAAATTAACCATTTCCTTTTCACGCTTATCCAGTAACGCCTCTGATGATCCTATCTCTCCTTCCGCCGATATGTTGACGCACTGTAATAAAAGTTCACTTAGCAAAAAGTTTTGACGCACGTTGATCTTGTTCACGCATCAAAAATTGGTGTAAGCCACAAATAGTTGTTTCTATTCTGAGTGTACATTGCATTCGTGATTACTTTGTGATGTTCGTAATACTCGCTGCGGTCGGGATTATTCTCTTGTACGGGAATTCGTATTGAATAAGCGAGAAGTGAAAAGAGGGAAAACATTTTACCGTATCAAAAAATGCAACGGCATCTGCAAAACCAAAGGAGCGTGCCAACCCGGCACCCTCAAGTAATGCCGCTCTCGCCTCAGGTCTGTTGTTTTGGAGTAAGTGGCATCGCGCCAGGAGAAATGTGAGGTTCAGCAACCAGATCCGTTGATCGGCAGACCTAGCCTCTGCGGGTATTAAAAATATTCTATTTTTCAAGCCGATACAGCAGGTCAGTATTTAATAGTTTTTGTATTTACGCTATCATTGCCCCTATACCTACAAATCTTATCCTTTAAACGAGCAATTCTTGTATATATATAATCGGAATCTCGGAAACGGCTCCAGCGATTTTCATGAAATTTAGTATGTGCATATATTCGGAGGCGAAAAATTGATCTAGCTAGGTTTCATTTTTAGAAAATGTCCTTTTATCCCTGTTTTCCGGGAATGAAAAATATCATTCGAATATGACGGTAAATTTCGCCGCAAGAGAAAATGTCATAATAGCTCGGTCGGTAATCGGGTGGCCCCAAAACAGACAGCCGTGGTTCCCGTCACGATCATTTGAAAACCTTTTGAAAATTGGGCTCCGGTCACCTCACTCACCAGACGAAACGCAAAAGTATTATACTTTCACTTTACGCCGGTCTTCTGTGAGGTCGTGGTACTTACCCGGACGAGCCTGGCCATTCGTGCAACAGCCGAGGCTGCTGCGTGGCCCTACCACCGTTAAATATTATATATAATGAGATAAATACTTAAGATAATATGTGTGGTACTTGCGGTATAAAACATTTTATGTTGTTATGTCATGATACATTTATAATAAAAAGTACCCGGCGGACCGAGCTGTTTTGCCGGTTTTTTTTTTTGGTAAATCGTGTATTTTGGAAATTACATTTAGATACAAATTACTGAGTAATGAAATGTGCATAATATTTTTCGATCTTACCGTCGTAATAATAAGAAAATATGAACTGATGTTTTTCACAAAAGATATAACTTAAAAAAAAGGGGAAAAAAATAACAAAATCACAAATCGACAAAAAATTAAAAATAAAGAAAGCAATGATCTGGAATCGAAAAAAAAGTAAAAAAATAAATGTGTGAATGATCGTGACACGAACCCCGGCCGTCTGTTTTGGGGCCGCCCGATTACCGACCGAGCTATTATGACATTTTCTCTTGCGGCAAAATTTACCGTCATATTCGAATTATATTTTTCATTCCCTGAAAACAGGGATAAAAGGGCATTTTCTAAAAATGAAACCTAACTAGATCGATTTTTCGCCCCCGAATCTACGCACATACAAAATTTCATGAAAATCGCTGGAGCCGTTTCCGCGATTCCGATTATATATATATATATATATATATATATATATATATATACAAGAATTGCTCGTTTAAAGGATAAGAGATTTGCGCCGCTGTGGGGATCGAACCCACGTCTTCGGCATTCGCGGCCTGACGCTCTAGCCACTAAGCTAAACGGCTGATAGCAAAACCGACGAAAATCTTAACGCCGTCTTTCTACATTGTTATTTAGCATTTGAAGCAATGCGAAGCAAGTGTTATAATGTATAAGCGCAGAGATTAGTACTATAAAAAACTTTAAAATCTGTAAAAAAAAAATGGCGACATTTCTCGTTCGAATTATCGTTGTAAAACGATATTCGAATTTTTTTGTATGCTGGAAAGGATAAAATAATAGATGCGCCAAGCATTGCTTTCACTTGTATAGTGTTTACCTGCTTGGCCCTTATGAGCATAGACCCTTGCTTTGTGTGCTTGTTTGGTATCAACATAGAGTCGGGCCAATTCATGTAGCACATAACAACGTTCTGACGCGCGACCGTTGAGAGACAACATTCGTTCTAAAGTCCGCAAGCGTCTTCTGTAGAAATTAAAATGGTAATTAGTAAAATGTACGTTTTTTTCTTCGAGTTAATTGTAACTGTCCAACCTAACCTAACATCACGCGGTGGTGCCAACGGTCTTGTACGTAGAACGGAGTCGTGACTTGGTTCACGCGAGACAGATATACCCAAAAGAACGTAGGCTCTTTTCTCCCGTTCTTCCTCACTCATGTCTTCTTTGAACCGTTTCTGTGGAATGTATACATATTATGTATGCATATTAATTAATTATATTTAAGAACGTATCATAAAATTTGTGAAAAGTTTTTGTAAGTTTTTTATTCAACGAACTACGCGGCTGGCTCATTGCCATATACGGTAACTGATTGCTATGCCGATTAATGTGGGTTTGCCGTGCTATAATTTGCAGCACTAAATAAGGTAACTGCATTTCCACCCGGCTCGAATATACCGACCGTATTTTTTAAAGGAAAAATTATCATTTCAATGCCTATTACTTAACTTGATCCAAGAACGCATTGGCGATCAAATTATACAACTCCAGTAGAAACTTTTCCTTGTCCGGCAACAATTTAATAGGTTTCCTCGATATTTGCTCCATTGCAAACTCAGCTGCTTCTAAGCACCTAGTCGTATCACGTTCATCAAGTATCGTCTTTGCCGTTCGTACTAGTCGTATTGCATCAGTGACATGCTGTTTTTGAGTGTGGCCTAGTCTTTCTTTGCGTGCGCGAGATAGTCTTTCTCTGGCGACAGCCTCGGCTGCGCGTGCGGCGTACAAAGGACGACGTTCTCGCAGTACGGCCTAAATGTGTATAATATTGCAAATTGTATATGAAATAATTCAATAATATAATCAATAAACTTAAAAAAGAAACATAGGATCAGCACAAGCTTGGGCTAGAAACAATCTTTTTCTGGGGTCAAACGCTTACGAAGAGAATTTCGTAAACGTTTGATCCCAAATATAAAAATGTTGTATGTTCATGCAATGATAACATTATAATGACTGCTGTGTTTTTAGATACTCATATTAAAAGAGACATTTAGCTGTATATACGTTGAAGTGAAATATAAATTCTCTTTCTTTTTCGATTTCGATCAAAATTTTAATCTAATTTATGATTCTGTGGTTAAATATGATGTATGACGTAAGTTTTTGTATTTTTACGTACTTGGCGCTTTTCAATATCGGCACGAGTTTTATTGGTTAATTCGGTCAACATTTGCGATCCCTGCTTATTTGCTGAAGACAATCTCTCGTCTTTACATAAAGAAATGAGAAAATGTTTATCATGTGCCATTTGTTCGAGATATTTTGAAGCCATTAAACGTGAAATGTTTTCCGATTTTTGTTTTTCTATTCGGGATATTTCTTGAATCTAAAAAAATACCATTAATCTTATTGCAATAATATACTCATAGGAAAGTAAGAATTTTTAGAAAACTCGAAATGTTATTAAATTCATCGTTGAAAAGTTTAAAGATTATAAAAACTAACGACCCGCCCCATGTATAATACACATAAACTTTCCTCTTGAATCATCTATCTAGTAACAAAAACCGAATCAAGATCCGTTGCCTAGTTTTAAAGATCTAAGCATACATAGGAACAGACAGACAGCGGGACGACTTTGTTTTATACTATGTAGTGATGATGCAGGCAACTGACATAAATCCTGACACTATAAAACGAATAAATATTAATTTTTCAGCGGTACTAGTTTAACTACTCTTATAAAGCAAGCAGTAAAAGTTAGCAAGCGATCAGGTGGTTCATCTGATGTTAAGTTAATACCGTCCCCCATCGACATCTTCAACACCATGATGGATTGCAGATGTGTTGCCAACACTAAAAAGTCGATTCCGGTTACCTGACTCACCATAAGAAATGCAAAAGTATAACGCATACTTGCACTTCACGCCCAGGATGAGTCTGCCCATTTGTGCAACAGGCGAATCTTCTGCGTGTGCCTACCACAGTAAGTCTACTGTCTGTGGATTAATCTTAGTTTAACGTTTGCTCATGTAAAAGGAAATACTGTAATAATGTAGATATCACCATTTGACAGTATCATTATATATATCCCCTTCTCTATTACAAATAGATAGTATTCGCATATTGAAGTAGCTATGATATATCGTATGGTCTTGTCCATTATATTCTGGTAATGAACAAAAGATACCATCTAATCCAAATTGAATAGAATAATATCCGGAAAATGTTACAGTCTTATTACATGTTGTGTTGGCTCCTTTAGCATTCTGCTTCGACGAACCACTTTCTTCGGTTTAAATATATCCTCCTCAATTAGATCCCCTTTTATCTCTACTCCTTTTAATAATAAACTAGCGGCTTTCATTACTTTCTTAGCACTTGGTCCAGCGCATTCTCGAATCTGCTCTTCATGTAAAATAAATTATACAAGTGATTTTTGGTTTTATTAAAAATTTGTAATACGGGTGGGTATAAGTGAATAAATATGCAATGGTGGGGACAAAATTGTAAGTGATCAAGTAGACCCGATAACTTAGCTACGTTATTAATTTATGGTATGCCATGTAGCTCATTTAGACAATGATTTATTTTTATTACTCAAATTAATTTTTTTGTAGATAAATAAACAATAACTTTCAGCGCTACGGGATTTGAACTGCGTCTTCTGGTTTCGCGTCCAGACGCTTTACCAACTAAGCTAAGCGGCCGATGTTCTCACGGCACGAAAATCTCAACATCTATCTACGTTCTATTGCATATTTAGCAACGATTGGCGCCATTTAATGTGCATCCTTTACTAATAAACGTAAAATGCTAGTTTAAATATAATAATTGTATTATGACTTCAAGGTTATTGTTGGTTTTTCCTGAAACAGGTTTAATTTTGCGAAGCACTAATTGCTTTCAACATCGTCATGAAATCTTCTAAATAATATGAAAGACCAGCGTTTCCAAACTAGACAAATGAAATTGTTTCATTATTTCTCCTGTTTTTATTATTGTTACAATAGTATTTTCAAAGAATAAACACTTTTACCTTAAAAGGAATATCTTCATAAAAAACACTCATTGAGTCTTATGATATGAGCACTAGACAATTAATAATTGAAGTAACAAATCTATACCGTTTCCTCGGCACATCTGGCACATTCGGCAAAGTCTGGTGGCAGGACTCGGAGGCATTGTCCGCGACTGGCAAGTACGAGCGATCGTTCAAAGGCGCATTTTTCATACTCTGTTTGTGCTTTAATCTGAAGAGCTGTCAAATTTGTTGGTTCAAGTTCTAAAAGCAAAATATCAATGATCCGTTATATGTATGTACGAGGCAATATATATTTAGTCATTATTTTTTAGCTCAAATTGATATAAAATGGACAAATAGAAATACGATTACTTGCGTCAAATTTGATTGTTAAGTAAGCTAAAATTTTTGATTAATTTACTTAAAATAGTTTGGATTTTCCGTTTCCACTTGTTTGAATATGTGAAAAGTTTGCTAGCGGTTGGTTCACCTGATGTTAAGAGATCACCGCTTCCCATGGATATTTACATCACAAAAAGTGCACCACGGCTACATCACTACCAGACAAAACACGAAAGAACAATACTTCTACTTTATGCCAAACTTCTGTGATGTGCTGTGGTACGCCGTGGTACTTTCCCGGATGTGCCTGCCCATTCGTGCAACAGTAGAAGTTGTTGCCTTGCCCTACCACATAATGTGGTACTATTTGTTCTATTGTTGTGGTTGCGTACTGTATATGTTATAAGAAAAATCGAAATAATTGACTTCAATGAGATTCGGTACGGAGACATTTTACACTAATTACATTCGTAAGAAACGCTTATGATATAGAAGCCCTTAGTTGGGATTTGTTAACTATTGTTTTGGGAAAAATATAATATACCTGTAGCTTTAATTACATCTGCCAATGCACCATTATAATGAGTTGCTTTTATTCTAGCTAGACTACGACCGAGCAAGCATCTGACGTCAAATGGCTGTAATAATATTTTGAATTATTTTTACATACTGATTTCAAAGTGAGGAGATTGAATTTTTTGATGTTGGAAATGGCATGCGAGCTGGCGATTCACCTGATTTTTTTTGATGAAGTGGTAACCGTTGCCCACGGATATTTGCTACACCCGTAGGTTTGCAGATGCCTTTTAATAAAGTGGGCCCTGGCTACCTCACTCACCAGACGAAACGCAGAAGTGTAACACTTCCACTTCACGCCGGTCCTCTGTCACCGTTCATGGTAGATCCCCGCACGGATCTGTCCATTCGTGCCATAACGAAAACCGATGCTTAGCGCTACCACACAAAAATTGAAAAGTTTATAACACACCAGAATAAACGTTTCTGGTTGCTGTTATAAACTTTAAAAGTAACTGGCGAAGATGTTGTCTTACTGGCTCTGTGAGTATTCTTAGTGACGTGCACTAACTTGTTTGTATATTATATATTGGAGAATATAATACGAAAAAATTTAATCACCCGGAAACAAAACGTCTAATTTGTAACTAACGAACTGGCAAAAAAAAACAATCAAGTCATTTAACTCACTTAACAAAGTAATATATCTATCGCTGTTTTCTATTAGAATTATCTAATAATCAAATCAAACACACCATAAAAGTATTTATGATGTGTTTATTTTAAATTATCATATCATTCATAGTATTCAGTATTGTACATTCAAATATATTTAAATCAATACAAATTGTCTTCGTATTTACTTACGTTCAAACGTAGGGCCTCATCGTAGGCTAAAATAGCTTTTTCAAATTGCTCTAAGCGCTGCAGATAATTTCTGTGAAAATTTAAATTCAAACAAACCTTCAAGGATAGTAATACTGAGATAGTATTTGTAATAATATTTCCATAATATATTTTGTTCTATTAACGATATTAAACACAGATCATGCGGTACCATACACATTTAGTAACCATAAATCCACATGGTTTTACGCTACTATTTTAGTTTAGTATTTCCAAAAAATAGTGTTTGTCTAATGTTCGTGTGTTTAAACATCTATGTTTATTTATCATAGCTATTTATTTACAAAATAAAAGTATGTTTATCACTTATCTAGTACCTACTTTACCTAGTACAAACTTTGCTTAGTTTGGTACTAGATAATGTTGTGCATGAGTGTGTGTTTTTTATCATTAGATTTATTTTAAAGCACCTCACCCTCGTTCTCGATATACTGCCACAGCGTTACAGATTATTTTTTCTGGGAGCGTAATCTTCTTCCCCATATTTAAACAAAACGTAACTACATATAAAATAACGTCAAACGACGCAAATAATCAAAAATATTCAATACAATCTAGATGACCATGGCTGCAATTTCGCCTTAAAGTTACGGTCTCAGGCATAATCAGCCCTTGAAATGGAATTTCATATTAAAGCAATATTCTACGACTCATGGAATGTCTAAGCAGTTGTTCTTTAAAAACAGGGGTACACCACAAAAACATTATTGTCTGATTTCTAAATTAACGTTTATTCGATCATGAAAAGATATATAAAATCTTCCAAAGCAGTTGGAGGGAGACTGAACTTTTGTTTTTCACTTAAAAACTTATTTTTCCCGATGGTTTTATCGATAAAGTAAAACCTTATGAAATGCTATAAATATACACCGGTAATTAGTAAGTTAGTGCGAGATAGAATTACTAAGACAAAAAAAATCTTTTCAACTATCGGTTCTGATATCTAGGTCTCATTCTCATCTCTGGATATTTAATTAACTCCTCCGATTTCATTTATTCTTTAGAGGTGTTAATATAATGTTCATTTTCCGTATTTTTTAAAATATATGAAATCTTAGGGCGTAATTTTATGATACCCTGCTTATTTATTAACCATCCCATTAATTTTTTTTATTTCACAAAATATATCGCTGTATAAAATATGTTATTAACCGTAATAATTGAATAATTTCTTTGAACAGCAGTTTAATTGATCACCGTTCTACGTGTTCGTTAAATTTGTACCGCTTTATGATCCTGTCACCGCGAACATGATGTAAAATTTTATTTTCGGATTACAAATACTTTCAATGGATAAACTGAAAAATATACAGTTTTTTACTTACTTTCAGTGAGAACATTATTTGCAAATTGGAAACATTACGAAGTAGAAGTAAGTATTAGGCGTCAGTGGCTTAAAACTGGTTTTGTTTTGATAGCTAGAATGATACATTTCGAATGAATATATTCAAAACATTTCCGAAAACATCTTATGTGGATTATGTATGAATGATTATTATTAATCTTATCTATTATCTAATAATTATAATTTATGTGATAATTATGATTTTTTTTTTTAATGTAGTAAAGTTAAATAAAATAGAAAGAAGATAAAAATGTACTCGACAATTTTCAAAAAATTTATTTATATTTACTATTAAGACAGTCGTTATAATACATCTGATATCTAGTTAAGTATTTTTTAAGGATTACACAAAAATGATTTTTATGAAAATTTATAAGTGTTGAATGTGCAGATGTGTTTTTGGGAACATTGGAGCTTTAACTTACTTGCCAACATAAGCTACTATAACTAATTTTTTGCTTCTCAAACAAAAATAAGTATGACAAATGCAGTCTATCCTCTTACAGACCTTAAAAAATCTATTTTGTGATAATCCTTTATGTAAAGCATATCATACACCCTTCTTTAATAAAAAAACTCTAGAAGACATATTGAGACAAGGTTTTCTCTTTATAAATGACATTTTACTAAAACGAAATGCCCACACATTTAAAAAACACAATTGGTTCACAACACAAATGCTTCATAAAGTTCTATGTCGAAAAGCATGTTTTGTTTAAATGTTTCTGTTATTTAAAAACATAAAATAAAACTTTAAAATAAAAGGTAAACTAACATCTAGGACACAATTATTCGAACTTGGTCCCAAAACTTAACATCATTGAAATTAAAAAAATAAACAATAACTATCATTTTAACTCATACGCATGACATTGTTAATTTGAACCTTATCTAATAGCCGTTACGGCAATTATGACATTTCTTCTATTTTTACTTCCACTAATTCTAACAGTTCTGTACTTAAATTCATGCTTATGACTAATTTCTTCGTTTTTATTAAAATGTTTAATGTCCTGATCGGAAGTGTTTAATACTTTGTCTTTTATTTTAATCCATCTATCACTTTTCCAATCATATTCTATACCAATAGATAACAGGAGATCCTCAAATTTGGGCCATTTGGGTGTATCAGTTATTCGATTGCTTTGAAAATTAACCATATTATAAAACTTAACAATACCAAGTGGATGTTCTTCCGTTATGTTTTTCATGTTATCTTTTGACTGAATGACATTACTTCTCGTTTTTTGGGGCTTCTCGTCTTTCCTGATATTTTTTTCTGATTTGGATTCTCGTAAACTTCTTCGAGAATGTTTGCGGAATTTTATAAATTTAAAAGGAACATTAGCATTAAAATCTTTTTGTGTAAAAAAATCCAAATTGTGTTCTCGAGCCCAAGTATCTCTCTCTATTCCTGTGAACACAAAATTTGGTTAATATTTCCAATATATTGTTTTAAAACTTTTTTATATATGTTATTTGTTATTTACATTTAAGTTAGAGTACTTATTCCTGTTATGGGTTTTATGAGAAACCATTACAATTGTGAGATACACTTAACATAATAATACAATAGAAAATATAACACTAGTGAAATAACATCCTTATTTACCGATTGATTCGTCTAAGAGCCCTTTGTCATCTGACTCCTTTGATCTTCTTTTCCACCGATTATCTCCTTTGCCTAAACCAATATTTACGAGTTAGTTAGTAAGGATTTGTAACGATCACTTATTTAAATTTTATTTGAACACAAACCTGGAAAAATTATGCAGACGAGAAGATAGAAAATACTAAAATTCATTCTTTAGAGATGCCAGTGCCAGAGAGATTCTAATTTTCTGAAACAGACATAAAAACGTAATTATAATTCTATATAAGATAATTTGATCTGATTATCTCTGATTATTATTATCTCAATGAGCGAGTGAGAAATAGACTAAAAATGGTTAATAAAGAAAAAATACTAATATAATATTTATTTTCGTAAAACCCTCAATACATGTAATATATGAATACACATATTACAGTTCTCATTATTATTACGAAAATATTTATGCACATATTCCTAGAACGCTGTTCTAAAGTTTCCACTAAACGCAACTTATAGTCGTTTTAGTAACAAAACATGATTAACTCCTTAGAGTTAAGTCAATAGGATGTGAGGAGTAAAATCAAAATATTTAATTAACTTGTCACATTCGATGGGCTCAATCCAAAGGTTTACATTTCAATCCTCAGGTTCTATACGATATTGAATTACTTAATTTGTTGGCTGTAATATGGTTCATTGAAATTATTTATTAAAAAGCCAATCGACGTTTTCCAGATTAAAAATTAAAATTTTTAAACATTTCATTTAAGACGTGTGTATATAAATATGTTAATAAATTTATATTTCATAGATTTATAAAATTTTGATAGGAAAAAATAAATATATTGCATTAATGTCCAGGCGTATTTCTATAGATTGGTAACACTGACGCCCGTTCTGAAACACTGATCGTCGTATAATTTAAATAATCAGCAGACAACTGGCTTTTTAATTTTATTTTAGTTGCCAAAACGATTGTTAAATTATTATGATCATTAAGATCATTCTGACATTTGAAAAGCCATTTGACAGCTGAGTAATTGACTTCTACGATGATCAGTGTTTCAGAAACGTTAATATTACTGATTATTTATTTATTTCTTTTCATACCATTTACGTGACACTCAGTAAAAAAAGTATACAGACACTGACAAAATGAGAGCTTAAGTTTAAATTCCAGTTCATTCGTTCGTTATTAATATAACGGTAGTACACTTTGATGCTTACGTATATAATAATATATCTAACTAAGAAGGCTGTTATATATACGTAAATTTAAAGACTGTTATATATTTTTTACTAAAACAAACTTTTTATTTAGGTATGGAGGCCAAGCGGGAGCTAGAAGATATCTAGGTTATGAAGCTTTTGTCAAGGGCGCTCATTCTGTTCAGCGGTGCGGGTTTGCAAAGATGGGTACAGATGCATATTAGAAGCTTTTCTAACGTGTCCTTTTTTTGGTATTCAAAAAAGTTGTCTATTGACCGCCACTCGAGGAAAGAGTGTTATATATTTAAGCTAAGAATTGTTTATTGTTGTAAGAGTCTTTCACATATTATCATCTACTTTATAATAACATAGCATACGGTATATTTATAAGTTAGAATTACTTAAAAAATCTAAATCGATTATATTATTATACGTGATATTCATGTAACGTAGGAAATGCTAAATATAGTTATCATTTTAATGAATATGAAATCACCTGAAAGTCGCGATACCCGTGCGGTGGATGTCTTCTTTTGCGTTGAAAATCTTTTAATTGTTAAATTTTCCGTAGCCTCTACATGTTATTAGTTCAATAGTCTGCCAAAAATTATCTTATTTGAAGTGTAACAAGGCTTAATATATAAAATAACTGAATTAAGGGATAAACTATTATATCACATCTTATTGAAACGGTTTTTAAAAAAATTGTTTTAAGATGATTTAGAGTTTAAAAAAAACGAATAACTAACTCTCATAAAGTTTGTATAGTACATGAAAGAATCTTAACAAATCGTAACTTCAGTATCTCAATTTTTTTTTATTTTAACAGATTCTTCATAAAACCAAAAAAATATTAAAGAAAATCTTGTTCTAATACCACAAAAATATCACACAAACCTGAAATATTTAAGTTCAATCACACACACCATTTGTTATATAAGATTTGTTTAGTCAAACAAAAGTTTACCGCTAAAATCACAATCTCCAAATCCTTGTGTTACGATCGAACATTCTTTTGAAATTGTGTACACACGTGTAGCTTTTCGTGATTCCGACGCTGTACTGACGGAGAGGTGGTTAGTCCAGTGAATGTACCCCATCCCTTATTCGTGTCCTGTGCCAGCCAAACCGTGAATTTTACTCTGCAGTCTATACACTGGTCGCGATAAATGATTCTTGCCTTAATGCTCAAAAATAAAACAAGCGATGGATTTGAACATTTGATTATTCGTTATAAAATAATCCTTCATATGTTATCGGTTCACAATCATGTTCTATATTCTAATTGCATTTTAGGCTCTCAAGTCTTTTCCCATATTTTGTTGAGTTATTTTTATGTTATTTAGTGGTTACTTATTACGTGCTCTCATGGTACATCGTGAAATGTTCAAAAACAACTGAAAGTATTCTAATTTACTGGGTTTAAAATCTCCTACAGTTAATAAACTCTGATTTTCTTAACGATTTAAAATGATAACGTACAAAACACGCTTTAACTCATCTTCTTTTTTGAAAGTCCGTTCTTATATTACTCAACGTAATAAAAGAGTATTTTATAGGATAAATGGGATTAATTAAACTGGTCGTTGGCTCCGAAAACGACCATTGTAAAAACCTTTTTTCAAATTCAACGTAAGCTCCTGTCTTTGTTTTCTCTTTTTGCCTATATTTTATAAGAGTGGCCTTTTAATAACTAAGTCATTTTTTGCCGTGTAAATTTTAATCAAGAAAGTGTTGCATTATAACATCATTTTAAGGGACAGAATAAATTTTACAAATGCATTGTGTTAAGCCCTGTTTGAACTTGATATGAAATGGACCTTATTGGTATATTCATATTCACTAGTTCCTATCTATAAATCCTTACTAATATTATATAGGTTAAAGTTTGTATGTATGGATGGATGTTTGTTACTCTTTCACGCAAATACTACTGAAACTTTACAATAATATAGCTTATACATCAGAATAAGACATAGTCTATAATTTATATACATATTTTTACGTATATCTGTCTTTCTCTCTGAATGTTACGTTCTTAGTAGCAAGCAGCAGCTAGTTGTATATATTTATACATTTTTTTATAAACAACGCTGACGCTTTATATCACTACGTGAATCCCCAATGTGAAATCATGCATAGATACTATATTTAATCAGGCTCGGTACAAATATTTGTAAATCAGATTTTTTTTTGTCCCGTGTGGCCATCGAGATCACAATTTAGCACGCAACGGCTGTTCATGTGATGACAACTTAAAGCGTTGCTTGATGCGTGTAGCCTATTCCTTCCTCTTAAACCCTCAATTATTAAAAAATGGATTTTACTCTTATTTCTTGGTAAATTTGAGCTCTATTCATGATTTTGGCACTTCGCCTGTAGCCTAAAGTAGTATTCCTGTAACCGACGTTAGACTGCCGTAAAAATAACGTATTAACTGCCAACTAACATGTGAACACAGTGGTAGGGTCACGCAACAGTATTCTCTGTTGCAAGAATGGGCTGGTCCGTCTACGTAATTACCACGACCTCAGATAAGACCGGCGTGTAGTGGAAGTGTTATTATACTTCTGCGTTTCGTCTGGTGAGTGAGGTAACCGGAGCCCACTTTTTAAAAGGTGGCAACGCTGCCGCCCATTGACATTTGCAACCCTACTGGTATTGCAAATGTCAATGGGAGGCGGTTGTGACGTAACACCAGGAGAACCACCACCTCGTTTGCCACATAAAAAAAGAACAGCCTATTAATTTTGACTTTAAAATAATTATGGATTATCGTAATACATAATAATGTAAATCGAACTCTTGTGCAACATTAGTTGGATTTTGCCACCATAAGGAGGACTTATATCGTTTTACTTGAGCCTTGATAGCTCAGTGTCGGGTTGCTCACGATTTTAATTCAATATCCACGAACAACCCATGTTTAAATCCCGGTTCAAAAGTTAATGCAATCCTAAGAATTCGGTAATTGCAATTAATCGATATGATTTACTGTGTCAAGCGCAGTAGATGAAAAGTTGGCTGGAATTATGGTGCTCCATATCAAATGATTCCATTTCTCTCGTTTTTCCATTTCGTATGCAAGCAAACACTTACCTATTCATGCTCGTCGTCTTAATGATACCAAGTTATTTATGCCTGCAATTTCGATTAAATTAAGCAATTTTACGGATTTTATCGCTTTTTAATTTTGATTTTCATGGTCACAGGACAGACACCTTAAAAGAAACAAGTAATTTTTTGATTTTGTATAAAGTTATACTTTTATGACAGTAAATTTACATTAATATTTTTGTTCGTTTTTCTGAAATATTTACAACAATGAAAAAACAAAAATTCTGCACACAAAAGTTGTAACTCGTTCTATATCTTGGAGAACCATTAATCAGTCGGTCGGAAAAGTGATAAGGCTGACCTTTCCACAATTAAGCGAATGGTGGTTTCTTTTCTTGGCCTTGCCCCGATACGAGTACTATGAGCTAATAAGTAATGGTATATTTGAGGAATTCCCGAAGTTTGTCCACTTAGAATAAAAACACCTATACACCTATTAGCAAGATTAAAATCTATTTTACTACTGTAATTACAGAATATAACTTTCATACACAATAAATTATACTAACGCTTATGTGCATTTATGAAAGATGGTACTAAATTGTGATCTGAGTTTTCGAGCATATAATAGAACTTAGCTTCGCAGTGAACAGAAGTAATAATGATATTCACGGTTTACCCAACTTCTTAAGTGTAAATAGCGATGCGTGACATAAGACACACGCATCGCTATTTACACTTAACAAGTTGGGTAAACCGTGAATATCATTATTACATCTGTTCACTACGAAGCTTAGGTTCTATTCCTGAGTGAGTGTGATACCTGTTAACTTCATTCAAAATTAGTAAATTTTAGAGTTCTAATACCTACTTAATTATTCGTCATTGGGATATAGACTTCGGTTCCACATATCGCTAAAACTATTATTTATTGTTCCGTATCC